ATTGTTTTCTTAAGGTAGAGATGAACTTGACTAAATAATTGGAGTAAGTTGTATTTAGTCTCCGTTTGGGAAGTGGGTTGATTTTTTAGCTTTTTTCTTTTTTGGTTATTTTAGCCTGAGGCTAAAAAGCCTGGTTTGGGAAGGATTTTTTGGATTTTTGGTTTTTTTGACTTTTTTTGTGAGAGAGGAGTATAATGATTATGGGTTGGATTTGATGTTTTATTTTTTGTGGCTATTTTAGCCCCTAACCCACCAAAACCAACTTCCCAAACTATGCCTTAATATTTTTAGTTTTGATTTGATTTGGATACAGTTGTATAACTTTTAGATATTTTTGTGCAATAAAGGCTTTATTCAAATCATGTTATACAATGATTTTTATTGTTGTATATTAGAATTGTTAGACGAGTCATATCTAATAAGACGAGTCGTGCATCAAATCGTAGTTTAGTGGTGACGATCCATGTTAAGCAAAGATGATTCGTGGCTTTTTGATTTTGATATACAAATTCTCCTGACGATGAATTTTTGATCAACTTACATCACAGTATCCAAATCAATGATTTTCTAAAGACTGAGTACAATTACTACCAATTATAAGGTTAGTGGTGGATTCGAAATCCTAAGATATTTATTTCATTTCGTTTAATTAATTGCTTAATTAATTAGTTTAATTTTCACTCCAAATATTCACAAACAAATCTAAATTTCCAAATTAAATTATTCATCATTAGTCCCTGTGAATCGACACTTGATCTTAATCGCTATTCTACAGAATAGTTATTTTTACTTGATTTTAAATAAGATATTTAAATGTGTAAACCACCATCATATCAATTTGTGGTGTTTGTGTTTTACAAGAATCCCTAATTAGCCCATATTTTAAATATAATATTTAAATGTGCAAACCACCATATCAATTTGTGGTGTTTGTGTTTTACAAGAATCCCTAATTAGCCCATAATTTATTTATTTGTTTATTGTTTTGAGTTAATCTATTTAGGGGTGTTTTTGAAAATTGGTTAAAAGTTGGCTTTTTAGCTTCTTTTTTTTTTTGTGTGGCTTTTTTTTCCTTTTGTTTGTAAAAAATATGAGATGTAATGTGACTTAAAATGAGTTAAAAGCTAAAAGTTGGCTTTTGTTTGATCAACTATGAAGGTGATTATATTGAAATGGTCATTTTTTATATGCTTTTAAATGGTGAGCGTTGATTCTATTAATAATGTATTTTTTAGCAAATTAAATATAAGTATGAATATTTTGATGAAATGATAATTTCATTTCATTTTATTCTAATAAATCAAACATAAATATTAATGGATACTTTTAATTATAAAAATTTTAAAAAAGAAAAAGAAAAAGAAGAAGAAGAAAAAGAAAAAGAAGAAGAAGAATATAGTACATGCAGTAGCTAATAGAGGTGAGCAGCGGATATACCGATCCGCTAAAACCGACCGAACCGATCCAATCTGCCCCATTTTGGACGGATGCGTGATGACGAGCGGACGGTTGCGGATTGATTTTCTCCAATCCGCCAATCTGGTGGACGGATGGCGGATTCGAGATTCCTTTGGCCGCAACCGAACCGCCAAACCGCGAGCACCCCTAGTAATTTATAAGACTTTGTGTTTTCAGTTTGTTTAAATATTCTGTTTGTGTTTTCAATTAAAAAAGATTTTAAATATTCTGTTGAAAAAAAGTTTTCAACGTGAATATCTTTTTTGAATTGAAAAAAATTAACGTATTATTTATCTTTATTTTTTGGTTTTTAAATCTATCTTTAAAAATAATAAATAGAAAATATGATACATGCTGGTTGGTTTTTGTTTCCAAAAAAAAAAAATATAGATGTAACAATACATAGACATACAATCTCTACTACTGCTCTGTTCATGGTTTTGGTGGTTTAAATTATTTTTATATTTTAAGAATCACAGATTGTAATACTTTATATAGATGAGGCATGTTGTGATTGTAGTATGTGGATAAGGCATGCAGTGATTGTGATATTCTAAAGTTTCAAACTTTCTTGCTTTGGATGAGGCATGCAGTGATTGTAATATTTTTTTAAGTCATTAATTGTAATACTTTTTTTTTTCTTTTTTGAGGAAGTGCACAAGTTGAATTATGTTGAAAATTTATAAAATTTTAAACCGCCAAACCGATTCGCATCCATCATCTCTATCTGTGATCCGCTCAAGAAGGCACCAACCTCAAGCAAATAAGGCA